AAATAAATATTAAAAATTCTCTCTCTCTCTCTCTCTCTCCTCTCTCACTCTCTCTTTAAAAAAATAAAAATAAAAAATAAACCAATAAGAATAAAATGGGAGGAGTTCAGCGGTAGAGTGCTTACCCAGCACCTATGAGGCACTGGGTTCAATCCTTAGCACTACATAAACTTAAAATAAATAAAAGTATTGTGTCCAACTACAATTAAAAATATATTTTCTTAAAAAGGTATCTAAGGGCTGGGGATATAGCTTCACATGTAGAAGGCCCTCAGTTTAATCCCCAGCACCAAAAAAAAAAAAAAAAAAAAAAAAAGATACCTATATATAAACAATATTCTACGTGAGGGTACTTTTTTATTTTCTGAATTATTTTATATGAATTACATATTTTCTTTGTAATGATATTTTAAAACTGAATTATCTTTTTAAAATAAGCTTTTTGTGTGCATTTTTATCACTGCTTTGTTTTATTTATTTATTTATTTATTTATTTATTTATTTATTTATTTATTTACCCACCCAGGATTGAACACGGGAGTGCTCTACCACTGAACTACATCCCCAGCCCTTTATTTTTTATTAATTTTTTTACTTTGAGCCAGAGTCTTGCTAAAGTTGCTGTGAGCTTAAGTTGCTGAGGCTGGCCTTGAACTTGCAATCCTCCTGCTTTAGTCTCCTGAGTCACTGGGATTATAGGCTACACCATCATGCCTGGCTTGCTGTGTGCATTTTAAAATCTTAAGGAATAGTATGAAATAGACTTGTCTTTTCCTTTTACTACTTGACCACCACTATTTGTTCTTTTTATCCCACCCAAAGGCCATTTCAAATATGCTAGTCCTTATCACCACCATGACTGCCTTGGGAAAACCACAGGTAATAGTGTGCTCCCCACACACTAATTTGGCTTACTTTCCAAACAGTGAACATTCACAAAGTGCTGTACGAGAGAAGATCATTCCAAAGAAATGAAGTTCGGGACGGAATGGAAAACTTCAGTGAATAGAGGAACATAAAGTGCTACAGTTATCATAGGCAACTCCAGACCACAGGGAACTCCAAGGACAAAAAGCAAACAACAATCAAAATAACAGTTTCTTGGACAAATAAACTGTGAGGATCCTATAGACTAATTCATAGGAGCCATAATCACTGACTGAAACACACATCATTCAGCTTTTGAATGAAAATTTGTAAAAACAAATAATGACATACAAAACTACCAGGAACTTGAATATGTAGTGGATTCTGGATGACATGAAGTATTAATTCATTTATATGTGATAACGATCTTGGGTTCAGGTCACTTTTATACACATCTTCTCAATGGCTCTCCAAGTGCAGTACAGGGAACCAGACACTTTCAGGGGGACCATACTGACCAAACTGTTTCCATCAAACATGAAGACATGACTTGTCCTTTTCATTCCCACTCAAAAGAGCACAGTGGAATTTTTCAGACCCCTTGTGATATGTGATGCCACTGAGCTTTGTGGCTAGCAGAATGTATGCTTGTGTTTTAAAATCCTCATAAACACCAATTTTAAAGAAACCTCTCTGGGGTCCTTGATAATTTTTAAGATTATTCAGGAATCCTAGGACCAAAAAGTTTGAGAACCATTGCATTACGCTAGTATGTCTACTTTTTTTCTGTATGATTTAAATTTCTCCAAAAAATAAAAAGTTTTTTTTTAAATGGGCAGTGTGCAGTGATGAGTAAATTAGGAAGATAAAAATATCCATTTACCCAGGAGCTAGAAACCCATTGGAAATCCCCTCTTTATCCAACTCACACAGGTACACCCAGACCCCTCCTCAAATGTCAAGGGACAACTAAAATTAAAGTTCATGTTTCCTTCTGTTAACTTCTCAAAAGAAACACATGCAATTACTTCACTTTTATATTTTAAATTTAAAAACCCCTCTCCCTTGCCTAAGACAGTCACAAGACTTCGTAACCACCAATCATGCTAAAGCCAACCTTATGGAAACTGTGCTCTTATCTCTCTCTCTCTCTCCCTTATTTAGGACTAATCAGATCCATGGTCCAAACTCTGTTCTGTTCTGGAATTTGCTGGACCACACTGAAATAGGTGTCCCATGGCTGCTGTTCAGAAGTCTTTGGTGGCAGCGCTTGTGTGGGGTTTAGCCCATCAATGGCAATCAATCCATTCTTTCTCTGCACTCTCCTCCCTTGCCAGCCTCCATCCATTCCAGCTGTCTTGCATAAAGCTTGGCATTTGTCTTTCCTCTTCTCCATGTTCTAATCCTGCTCTAGAAAGCAGCTACAAAACTGGTGGCTGCAGTTGGTCAGTATGGTCCCCCTAAAAGTGTCTGGTTCCCTGTACTGCACTTGGAGAGCCATTGAGAAGATGTATATAAAAGTGACCTGAACACAAGATCATTATCACATATAAATGAATTAATACTTCATGTCATCCAGAATCCACTACATATTCAAGTTCCTGGTGGTTTTGTATGTCATTATTTGTTTTTACAAATTTTCAGCTCAGGCCTTCCCCAAGCACTGGGTCTCAGAAGCACTTGGTGGCTTCCTAAAGCTCACAGTGCTGGGCCCCACCCCAGTTTCCAAGTCAGTGGGTCCAACTTTCCCACAAGCTTAAGGGAATGCTGATGCTATTCATGCTGCTCTGGGAACAACAAATCGAGAACCACTGCTCTGCTGTTTCTGCTGAGACCCAAAGGCCAGTGTTTCCCCGTGGCTCTGTCCAACCTCTTAAGAGCAACTGGTAGCTAATCACCCTGGAACAGCTTCTCCATGAATAAAGCAGATTATGAAAGTAAACTTTGTTCTCCAGAGGGTGCAAAGGAAAAGGTATATAGGAGGATAAACTTCATCTGGTGGGTAAATTGAGGTAAAAGAATTTTTTACCAGATCTACTGATGCAATAAAAAGCTAATTCTCAGCAGAAGTTGCCTCTTTCAACCATGTGGTGCTATTTCTACACATTTTCCTCAGAGATTGAAAATTGGCAACTAGCCCAAAGGTACTCCCTATAGTTTTCCAACTACCTGACCTGCAGGCTGTTCTGGCAGCTTCTTTAGGAACTCTCATTTTAAAGACATAGGTAAGAGACATTTATCCCAGAAAGTAGAGCTCCAGATAACAAGTCTCTCACATTGTAAGTGGCATGTGCAAAGTCCAATAGTAGGGACAGGAAAAGGCCAAGTAGTCCCATGTTACCATGTTGCTTGGAGAAAAAAAGCCCCCAATTAAGCAGAAAACAAACACTTCAGCTCACTTACCTTGGTCATGCCTCCTGCCTGTGCCGTGTTCAGTCCCGCATGGCCGGCCATTTGCGGGGAAACCTGTGTTAAAGTCTCGGCCAACACACTGCTCGTGGCCCCCTGCATGGCTGGAGTAGGGTATGGCATTCCAGCTCCCCTTCCTCTGCCAGCAGCCCCAAGAGATCCATTCATGACTTGCGCCTGCCCTTGCTGGGCTTGATTCATTAAGCTATGGCCAGAGTTACTATTGAGGAGGCCTGGATGGGTCTGGTTAAAGTTAGCATTCATGCAGATCCCAGGTCCAGTCTGCGATGTGGCAGGGCTGCTGGTCACCAGCCCCACTTGCTTTTGTGCTTGTGGATTCAGTGCTTGGGAAGCAGGGGGAGTGGGCCCAGAGGTGCTGGCTGCCTGTTTGGGCAGGCTGGGGGCTGATGAATCTCCCTGGTTCAGAGGGCTTTTGCCCATGGCCCCCAGGCTGGCCATGTTCGTACTGTTCGGCTGCCCTTGAGCCTGGCTGCTTAGACCCTGTTGCACAGGGCTGCTGGCACTCACATTTCCTATTCCTGGGTTGATACTAGAGCCACTGCCTCCTCGAAGAAGCTCCGACAGCTGTTTATGTTTTGAAGCAGCATCTGGAACAAGGTTCCCACTGTTTAAAAGGCCTAATTCTCCTCCATTGGGGATCAGTTCATCAGGAAGATCATTTTCCAAGTCAAACAATGATCCAAAATCTAGAAATTAAACAGAAACGGAAATGAGAAAATAAGAAACCATAATAGCTTTCCTACTGTCACATGTTACTATGATTTTTAACCTAATGGGCATTTGAAGCAGAACACTAGGATGCCTTCAGAGTAATGTCAAAATGATTTGAAATTTTGGGAAAATAAAAGAAGGAAAAAGATTTTTTCATGTTCTAAAAAAGGAAATGTTAAAGGTGAGAGGAGAGCCAGCCCCCCTGGATTTTATCATATTCTAAAATAATTATATAATACTATGTGAGAAAAAACTCAAGATATACAAAAGGATAATAAATAGGAAGTCCAAAAAGTCACTAAAGTTAAAATGGTTTTAAGAATCTATGTGTATTAGAAAGTAACTGGACATTAAATTAGATAAATAGTAGTTTGGGAAAATGAAAGCTCAACCTTAAGTGATTATACTTTTTTAAAGTTAAATCATTTAAAAAAAAAACATAATGGAAAACAAGATTAGTGATTTCTCAAAGTGGAAAGCTGCCAAAAATTTACTAAAGATACATACAGAATTAAAAAGTTAAAAATAGAAGTTTAAAGAGTTGTATTATGAGAAGTGTCAATCATACAGAACAATGATAAGCACAGCCGGGCGTGGTGATGCACGTCTGTAATCCCAGTGGCTCGGAAGGCTGAGGCAGGAGGATCCTCAGTATATAGCCAGCCTCAGCAACTTAGCAAGGCCCTAAGTAACTCAGCAAGACCCTGTCTCTAAATAAAATATAAAAAAGGGCTGGGGATGTGGCTCAGTGGTTAAGCACCCCTGGATTCAATCCCCAGTATCAAAATAATAACAACAAGGGTAACCACAAAGACTCCCAAGTAGACAAGGCATATAGCAGATAACCATCCCAAAGGAAGTGTGTGGTCTTGTGTCACCTCTACTCCCTCACCTCTCTGAGCTTCCCAACCCATAGTAAGCAAGTTGCACATTCGTGTACAAAGGATGAGATATGCAGAATGATGTTCACCTTGGTATTATCTGTAAAAGAAAATGCCAATGACAGAAAAGAAAAAGCCAATAACAACAAGAAACAGTTTAGCCTGATGGTAGAGACTAATTGGTCCTGCTTACACCCGAACCTTTGCTTTCTTCCAGTTTCCCACTTACCAGCTATAAAACCTTGGGTAGGTTACTCAGCCCTTCTGTGCCTCAGTTTCCTCACCTGAAAACTAGAGATGATGATGGCCCCTATTCCTAAGTGTGCTGTAGGAACTAAATGAATTAATGAATGGAAAAGAGTGCTATTATAGATGACACATGAACTTAATAAGCATTACCTATTACTACTATTATTGTTATCCAATAACAGAAAACTTAATTGCTTGGGCTGGGGTTGTGGCTCAGTGGCAGAGAGCTTGCCTAGCATGTGTGAGGCACTGGGTTCAATTCTCCGCACCACATATAAATAAATAAAGATTCACCAACAACTAAACAAATTTTTTAAAAAGAAGCTTAATTGTTCTGTACTATAAAACATTCTATTTAATACTCAGGATGACTATAGAAATGTAGGGAAATGTTATAAAAACATGCAAATAGAAATGTATGCAAAATGGTACACAGAGTAAGATTAGAACAATGGCTGGAATGTAACATACCAAAAATAAAATTAACTATGCTTCTCCCCTCCCCCACAATTTAAAAAACTCACCAGCCCTCCCATCTCTCACATTTAGAAGTTTAACAACAACTTCTCCAGGGTGGCAGGTCCTCGTGTTTGCTTACCCAATTACCTGTCCCCCTACACTGCTGGCAAACCCATGTGGTTCTGAGGTGGCTGCCTTAGAGTTTCTCTGGGGAAGGGCAGCACCGTTCCCTGGCCACAGGAGAGAAAGTAACCAAGCACATGTCCACCTTCCCCGTGCAGGTGACAAAATCCCAGCTCAAGGAAGTTGAACAACTGTCAATAGAAATCATTCTGGAAAAGGTTTTCCTGCACAATAGTAAGGGAGGCTCAGAAAGAAATTTCTTTTCTGACCAGATTTCGTCATGGACCTGTAGCAGTCCTCCTGCAAGCAGAAGAAACCACCACTACTCTCACAATAAAAAATACTAACACTTGAGTCCATGAAGTCCAAACTGCTCAATTATCCAATCCTGGAACCTACTGATGTCTTGTTACATGAGAAAATACACTGCCTACAGTTGAAGCCATTTTAGCTACAGTTTAATATAATCACAGCTGAAAATATCCTAATATATCATCAGGTCTGTGGATGAGCAGAGCACACAAAGACCATCACAGTGGACCCCCTCCCTCTTCTCAGTCCTTTACCCGACCCCCCAGATGCACCCTACTTTCCAGCCATAATACAGTGACCTGTCACTTAGATTGGAAGTCTTTTCCGGATATTCTCTTGGGCTAGAAAATGCCACCCTAAACCCCACTCAGTGACTACGAACAGTGACTTCCTTCCCCTACAGAACTGACTAGTGCCTCTTTTTCACTGCCCAAGTTCTCTGTACTCTTCTGCCTGGCAAACCATCTCTATTTAATACACACCTATTACTCCCCATCTGACCACAAGGAATGAGGCACTACTTACCATGTACACACACACACACACACACACACAGTTTCCCCAGAACCCTGAGAGTAAGCTACAGACTACTAGCAGGATACTTTCTTCCCACATACTTCAGTATGTATCGCCTAAGAATACTCTTTCATATAACCAAGTACATTTGTCAAATCTAGAAAGTGTAATACCGAGCATATAATTAATATACTGCCCTTACTCAAATTTTATGGTCCCAATAATGTCTTTTGTCATACTCATTTTCCTGATCCAACTCAGAATCCCAGTTGTCCTGCCTCTAGTATCTCATCCCATCAAGAAAAGCTCTTCAGCCTTTGTCTCCCATTACTGACATTTCTGAAGAGTAGAAACCAGTTGTTTAGTAGACAGTCCCTCAATTTTGGGTGCCTCTTCAGGACCTGTCATTGTGAAGAGACTGAATATAATCCTGGATCAAGCAAACAGTTCCATGAAAAAGCACAGGTGGTACCCAGAGGACCACCCCACTATTGCAGGTCAGTCCACAAGTTTTATGCTGCTACGTTGTCCTGAATTTTGAGATTTATTAAGTCTCCAGATACAAAATCATACAAAATAAAGTTCAAAAAAATTTCCCCCACCATAACTAACATTTTGTCTGCTGCCTTCCAGGCTTTGTCCACATGCACACACACTTTCTACTCATCACTCTACAAATACATGTTTTTTTAATGCAGTGCCCCTTAATCCATGAACATGAAAATGAAATTTCATCCAAACCAGAAAGTGGAGCACCAAAATAGAGATTCTTTCCTTCATATTTGCTTGGAGTGGGGATAAAGAATGTGTAAACTAGAAACAAACACACTCCAAATATTTCATACTTAAAGTGCGGAACAACCTGCAGAATTTTCTAACAGGCCCTTTCAAGCATCCCCAAGCACTCCTCCAAGGAGAAGGTGCCAAGCCAAAGAACAGCAGACAACGCCACAAGAACAAATTAAGATAAATTTGCAAAGTTAGGGCCCCGGCTAGGTGTAGGACAACAGAAAAACTGAAAACAGGAGTTCAGATTCTGACTTAACAATTGGTCATGGGTCCTTGAGCAAATAGATTAATTTCTTCATTGCTTTACCCTCATTTGTAAAGCAAGGATAATATTCCAGGGTTTCATGATACACTTTGGACTAAGACATTGTGTGCCATAGATAGTGGTTATTTTATAATATCCTGAAGAACAATTTCTCACCTTTAAAAATCCACCCATCATGGGCTAGGATGTAGGCTCAGCGGTAGTGTGTGTTTGTCTAGCATGCTCTGGGCTTAAAAAAATTCACCCATAATCCTACCACTCTCCAATCTACCAGTTTTCATTTATGGCTTATTCTAGTCCTTACCAAATACATGGTCAATTTTTGTAGCTGGGTACTTTTCTCGGGCTAGTGTTTTAGTTTGGTTTTGACTGGTCTGTCAAATTGTGTCCACTTTGATAACATTTTTTTCTCATTCTATTTCAGTCCAAACATAGATATCTAACAAATGGTGGGTTCAGTAAGAGTTGACTAATTCTTACATCCTCATCCACCACTCCAAACACATACCAAATATACTAGGTGTGGTTTTTTAAAAAGACAAGACAGATTGAAGGGAGATCGGTAGAGTAGATGAAAGGGAAGGGACCAGGACAAAGGAGGAAGGGAAGAAAAGAGGAAACACAGGGAATGATATTGGCCAAATTATATTGCTATATTGTGTGCATGTATGAATATGTAACAAGAAATTCCATCATTATGTGCAATACAATAAAAAAAAACAGAAGAAAATAAAGACAGGACAGGCTGCATACATTCCCTCAATACCACCCTTCTTCTCACAGCTGTTCCCTATACTTTTGTTCAAAAAAACTAACAAAGGAGAGTGAGAAAGCACATCAGGATATTACAACATGCACAACTACACTTTCTACACAACAGTGTCCCAACATGTGGACTGAGCAATAGCAATCTGAGTCATCGGAAGTTCCTAAGGTTCAAAATGAAAGCTACTAATTCCAATCCTGGGTAAATTCCCTTCTCTCTGCCAATCACTAAGGCAAAGCTGAAGATGCACAGATCACGGGTACCCTGCTTTCTGAACTGTTGTCCTTGGCAAGAGATTTCCCGGTCACACATCAAAAATACCAAAAGCCACCTGTCACATTTCCATGGTTAGGGACAAGCGTATTCTCTCTTCTGGAGCTTCCTGGCCACTAACCTGGAGGCCACCCCCTCACTAAGGTAATAAGAGAGAAAACACAAACTACAGCTTTCTAATTTCTGGGGAAGTCTGATGAGGAAAGAGGAAAATTTAAGGCTTTAGAACAGAGAAAGTCATAACCAACCAAAACAACAAAGGACATTTCACTGCTAGCTGGGAAACCTAAACCAGCAGAGATCCTGCTCAGATGATGACCACTTCTGAACACATAAAGATAA